CCCTCACCCCCTCCCCCGCCCCCCCGCACATTTGTCTTTCGCCTTCAGCCTCCCCTCACTTCTCAGCTCCGTGTGGATTTTGCAGAGAGCTCCCCTTCCTCTCCCACTCTCCCCTCTCCTCACCCCGCTTTTCCATCTCCATCTCCTGTGCCTTGCTTCAGGGCACAGGAAGAAGGTAAAATGAGGAGACTAAACATTTTAGACGGTACAGTGCCAGAGGAGAGGCTGGGGTTTGATTTCCCCTGTGTTGTGTCAGGTGGGATTACTTTGTTTGTTTGTTGGGCTTGTGTGTGTGTGTGTGTGTTTGTGTTTGACCTCTGCTATAGTGGAACAGATTCACACAGTCTCACATTTAGGCTACATTCAAATGAGCAGCCAAATATGAATTTAATTTGAATGGTTAAACACGTAATTATTAAAAAAAAACGTTTTCTAACCTGAACACAACTCGTTTCTGGTTCTCAACCTGAGGATTGGGACCCAGTTGTTGTCATCAGGTTCATGCTAACAGGTCACCTGATGTCACAGAAAAAAAAGTTTTCCGAGTGAACAAAGAACGATACATTTCCTGTGTAAAGACGTTAACAATAACAAAGTGATTTCCACTGAACCTGCAGTTCTGATGGAGCATTAGACGCTGGTGTTTAAACTGAACATATGCATGTATTTGTTTGTCGATCAGTATGTGGGCTGAGACAGATCCCAGCGGGCCAGATGAGAGGGAGGATGGATGAGAAGTAAAGGCCCGAGCGTTTGAAGGAGGAGGAGAAAAGAGGAGGAGGAGTCACAGGGCGCAAAGTTTATCTTATGTAACTGTTTTCCCACAGACGGGGTTGAAATGTGCTGCTGCTGCTAAATTTAAATATGTGGGTGGAGACGCTCGCACGGTGCAAGATCACAGCAGAATAAGAAACAGAGGTGATGGTGTTTTCATGTCTGATCTCCATCCTCCGTCAGTGATTTGTTACACACGGATGTCCGATATTGCCGTTTTGCCGATATCGGATTAGCCAAAATTGTCCAAATTCTGGCTTTTTTCGTTTGCAATCTAAAGTTATTTGGCAAAACCAAAGCATTACGATATTGCATTTTCATTATCGGCGGAAACACCAATAACGATATAGATATTTAGCTAATATCAGGCCGATAATATCGGTTGGCCGATATTCTTGTACATCCCTATAACACATACTATTGTTAAAAATGAAATTACTTCAGAATTGGAAAAAAAACTGCAGGAAGAACACAAAAATATTACCCATTATAACCAAAAAATTTGCAGGTTTAATGCCAGAAATTGCTAATGATAGCAGAAAAAGCTACCATTTAGCAGAAAGCTAGCAGTTACACACCATTTGTTCTTTACCCTCTGGCACTTCTTACTGTTATCAGTTGGTGCTAAAGATCAAACTCCTTGTCACGAACATCTACTTCTTAATCCCCACACAGCTGTAAAATCACATTAACAAAAAAAAATCCTAAAAAAATCATGTGAGCTGGAGCTGCTGAACACCCACACTCGACCAACGGAGAGGGAGCGTACATACAAATTTTTATCTTGTCCTGAGCTGAAAATATGTGCAAATGAATATTCAGGACATTTTTATCTTGTCCTGAACTGAAAATATGTGCAAATGAATATTCAGAGCAAACATGCAGGCACTCGCAGAGATACCTTCACACCATACATTACATGTGACGGAAATTACCGTCTGCTCTGCCACTAAGCTGCTGTGACAGAGAACGAGGTCGGGCTGGAAATGGCTGATTTAATGAAGCCATAAACAAAAATTCATTTTCTGCAAACACTTTTATCTTCGGTGATTTCAGTGTGTTTTTGTTTATGTGTGTTTCCCTGCACCGTTTTGTCTGCAGGGGAAAAAAAATGGGTGTTTTCTCAGAATTTTCCATGAACTTGCCACTGCATGCCCATGTAGTTCATGGTTGTAGTTCAGTGTTATCGATGCAGTTCAAAGGAATTGCGTTTTTTAATTTTTTTCCCTCCAGACAGGAAACACCTCCATGTTTTATTCTGTCTCTAAGTTAGTCTGGTGCTCGAGTGCATTTCAATTAGATTTTGTTTGTCTTATTATTATTTTTACACCACTGCTAACAGTGCGTCCAAACATTGAGCCGGACTTTTGTAATATAAAGGAATGAATAAATTAGTTCAAATGTGGCTAAGAGCTAGCTAAAGGTTATGTCTTTAACAGATCTGATCTTTAGATAAAAAAAGGCAAAGCCAAAACAAAAAAAATGTTGTGGCCCTGCTAAAGACATTTCGTGCCCCTTTACTGGCCCCCAGGCCAGATTTTGGACCTGCACATTTACAGTCTCACATCAAAGTTGTTCCCTTTGCACTTCTACATCCTCACGCTCAACTTTCCTTCACCTTGTTTCCACTGGAGTGTATGAAACGTAGCTGACAGCTGCTGCTGCTGCGGTGCTCAGACGGCAGCACTCTCCTGTCGTTCCTCTTCTTCTCTCTCCGTGTTTTACACATCAGCTCACTTTGAGGATGCGAGGGCTCCGGTGTTACAGCAACTCTTCCATTTCCTTCTCTTGTCCTCAGGCAGGACCAACAACCACTATTTGAGGATGCGTGAGGGAGAGTGCAGTTGTTAAAAGAAGCAACCAGATTGATGTGAGAACGTTGGCCATGCGGATGCTCAACCTAAGGTAGGCGGATATTTTACACATCAATATGTCAACAGGTTTTATATTGCATCACTTGCTGAGTAAGAGTGTTGTGCTGTGCCCACACTGAGACTCTGATGGTGTGGGTTTGATGATCCAACACAAGTTGACTCAGCAGCTTATGTAACATTCAAGATGTGGTAGCTCAGACTGAACTCTCATCAAACATGACAGAACATTTTCTGAAAGTGCAAAATCCCATTTTCTAACACCAGAAACAATGAAATCATGGGATTTAAAACTGAATTCTGTTCTAAAAACTTTTAAACTAACAAAGATTAAATTAATATCTGTATTTATTTAAAGCTAGAAAACATCAGTGCAGCTTTAGTTTTAAATTATAAGGATAATTTGTATAAAGTAAATTTATTTTGTCCTGCATTTCAGTGACGAAACACCCAACCGTAAAACCAAAAGAGTATGGCAAATCTAACGCAACATTTGATTTGATACTAATTTTTATGTTTTTTTTTCAACTGACGGTGGTGTTAGTATTTCTTACACATTTGATGGGAAACATTCTATTGCTACAGCGCCTCATAGTGTTCAGAGATGTACAGTAGCTACACAAGTACATGTGGCTTGTCAACAGCCTTGTAAAAAATGCACAACACTGCTACATTTTAATTTTTTTTTTGTCAGTGGAAGCAACATCTTATGCTCAGATCGTCGGCCATGATTTAGGTCGCGATTAGATTCAATCTTGCGAATCACCAGGAGCTGCTCAGGTCTGTTCAGTGCTGCCTGCAGATCCAGTCTTTTTGTCGCCGTGCTTCTTCATCTGACAGTGTAATTCCAGGGAAAGCAGTCGGGGGCTGATGGGGGATTTCCACTTCACCACTGGATACCTGATCCCTGAATTCTTTTGTCTGGTGATGACTCACCCCTTAAAGGCACTTAGAGACATCCTGTATACCCTTACCACTGCCATTATTTACTGCGACATCAAAGTCATAAAGCACAGTGACAGACATTTATTTGAAGTCTGTTTTAGTTCCCTTTGTTGACAAAAGAATGCAGTTTTAGGAGCAGTTACGCTGTTGTTAGTTTATATGGGTTTATATGGGTTTTTTCTCAAGAAGATGAAACCAGGTTGTTTATCAAGTATTTATGCTCAGGCTTCCATATTATTTGTGATAGATTATTACGACAGATTTGTTCAAATGTATAGGTACTTGCTGGTTTTTATAAAATTTACAAATATTTATGTATGCCAACCATACAATTTAGCAGGACATGAGCTACAACAGTTGGTTTGGCCAAAATGTATGAAATAGAGCAGAACAGAGTCCAGAAATGTTGTACATTTTTAAAAAAATAAAAATAAACTGGCAAAATATCATATCAAAAAGGATAAGTGAAAGAAAAAATGTAAAATTGATTAAAATAGAATATGATTTTAAAACATCTAGCAAGAAATGCTAGCATGGTAGCTAATTCTGTTAGCAAAGTAGCTATTCCAATCTCACTTACAACATGGCTGCCTTGATAAACTACAGCGCCCCCATGACCCTGTGAAAGACTAAGATTGTCTTAGAAAATGTGTTCTTTTGACTGCTTTGGTTTAATGTCACGTATGGTCACAAATATAGATCACACATGACTTTAGTTTGGTTTCATACCAGTCGACTAACGCACGATATGAATATGGATTTTGGATCAATCACGTAACATCCATGGGTTTAAAAACTAGGTCACTGTTTTCTAAATGACATTATTAAAAATACTGTTTTTATTTCTGGATCTGATTAATGACATTATTATTAGTATCAGAAACTGAACAAATCACAAATACTGTTTTTATTTCTGGATCTGATCTGATTTTATTTTTGGAAAGTTTCACTGAAGCCTTTTCCTCCACGTGCAGTTGAATCATGGGAAACGTGGAGAGTCAGACCGGGGACGGTGGATTGTACGGTGACGCCGCGGGACAAATCTCCCGTAAACACAAGTCTCGCTCCCTCCGTCTCTCCAACAAGCAGCCCATCACCCGCAGGTCAAGACTTTCCTCCTCGGTGAAACAGGAGCACAGGAACTCCGAGGCCTCCACTCGCTCCTCCAGCACTCCCAGCATTCCACAGTCGCTGGCGGACAACGGACTGGACCCTTTCAACGCCACAGATGCTTTCGAGGAGTTCGGCATCAACCCTCATTGGACGCAACGGGTGGCTATGACCATGCGTCCAGAGTCCTGATGCCCCTTTGGCACCGCCCGCTCCCGAAACCTCCGAGGCGGACACGATCGCCCAGGATGGAGGAGAAGACTCTATGGGGGAGGGAGAGGGGGATGGAAACGGCCCAGGTGAGGAACGGTACCTTCAGCGCATGAACGAGGGTCCCGGTGAAGGAGGCGGGTTTCTGAAGAAACGGTCAAAGTCCGCTGACATGTGGAGAGAGGACAGTCTGGAATTCTCTCTGTCCGACCTGAGTCAGGAACATCTGACCAGCACCGAGGAGATTGTGGGTGGAGGAGAGGAAGTGGAGGCGGAGAAGTTCACCGGACCTGGTGCAGGTGAGGACCCTGAACTGATCTGAAAGACTTCAGTCAGTCGTCCTGTCACTTTTCAAAGGTTCAAATTAGTTTAAAATGTCTTAACATTATGTTAAAAATGATTCTTTGACAGCTTGTCAAAGCTAAGCTAAGCTAAACTAAGCTAAGCTAAGCTACAGTTTACCTTTAGCTAGGGAGTACTTTTAAACTTTATTCTAATATTACCTTTCGTAAAGTAATTGTCCAATACAGTTTTTTCTTCTTTTTTTAAAAATATTAATAATATCCTTTATCGTAAAAATGTTGTGTATTTGCTGCAGTTATTGACTTCTCCACACAGCGGCGACACTGAACGTTCAATTTTGTGATCAATAACATTAATGTATTCATGTTGACTTGATACTGGGGAGTGGTTAGTGCTATTGTAACGCAATATCTGATCTGAATAACAAATTGAAAATGACAGGAAATGAATTTCTTCTTCCTCCTTTGGTTTGAACAAAGTCACGAACGCCGGTGTGATTTCCTTTCACTGATCAGAATGAGAAGATTGTCGAGAAAACTGCAGACAATCACACACCGAGGCTGAAACCTGCTCTGAGAAAATGGACTCTTCTGATTGGAGGTTATTTGTCGTGATTTGCAGCGTTTCCGCTGATTGTTAGTTAAACTAGCGCTGCTGTGGCAGGTGAAGGCTGGTGATTTATCAAGTCAAAGTCACGTCTCTGCCCCCGGTGGTCAGATCACTCTGAGACTCCGAGACCCTCACGGTGAGGGTTAATTTAACCATCAGATTTAGAGATGTGATTAGCATACGCCAGCGTCACCTCACTCACCCCGTCCACCCACATCCACCTCTGCCATCACCACCTGTGTCTTTTTTTTCAGGCTCAGCTGAAAGAGCATCGTCTCTGGACCATCTGTGCAGCCAGCGGAGTCCTGGCCTCAGGGGCCACAGGGGCCGTTTACTTAAAACCCGCCGAGAAGCTGATCGTGATGGAGACGGACAGCGGGAGGAGGGGTTGATGTCTCCAGCTGAGGAGGATGTCGGTGGGTACGGAGCTTTCACGCTTCCTTGCCGACGTTCCCACTGTCTCTCTGAGGGATTGGCAGGACTTGGCATTCCAGCTGCTCCGTGTCCTGCTTTCCAGGGTCGACGTGCACAGACAACACAGGTGAGATCACAACGGCTGGAGCACTCGTTTTAATTCAAACTATCTGGCCTTTTCAGTAAGGTACACCTCACTACTGATGGATTGGACTTCCTGTTTTTGACCTGTCTGATTTACTTGTGCCTCGATTCAACAAGATTTGCCAAAAAAAAAAAAACATAGAAATTTACAGCAACAACATATCTGTGGGATACATCCTGAGTTTTACATCCTTAAATAAGTTTAAGTTTAAGTTTAAGGGTTTTTGGGTCCATTGAGTGTTTATACATCCGATGACAACCAACCTGGGATGGCTCCATTGAGTGTTTATACATCCGATGACAACCAACCTGGGATATGTTGACTAGTTGGCCTTGAACCATCACCAAACTCGCCATTAATTTATAAGCCTTCTTCTCATTTTTCCCCCCAAAAATACTTCTTGCTAGATCCTTTTCTTTTTGGACCATCTCTGTCAAGTTTTTGAATGAAAAAAAACCCCCAGTCAGTCAAGTTCAACAGAGACGTTGTACTCAAGGTCAAATCCCACGCAAATATTTAGTTTTGTTATTCAGATTTTTGTTGTTGTTTTTGGACGATTTTCTTGAAGAATATTTGCATTAACCAACGGTCAAATGGATGTTTCTAATGAAGTGGCCTGTCAGTGTATAGACCCCTATTATCCTTTAAAGAGGACTTTGATTTCCAGGACTTTCATGGAAGTTCATGAAGTTCACATACATGACAGAGGACAGTAGTCAGTCACTGCAGCAATTAACATTCTGTGAAAAACAGACACTTCCTGTGTCTGGTCCTGCTTCATAACTCTGTGTGTGTGAGGGTGAGCGTGTTCATGTTTGTATATTTTTACGTAAGAGAAGAGAAAGTGGCTGTGGGACTATCGGCCTCTATTGCCCCGAGGGCTATTAAAGCAATAAGGCATTATATCCTTTATTTCCTGTCCCATTCACTGAACACGCACAGTGACATTCTGATCATATTAAGAAGCTTATCTTACAAAAGCAGGGATGCGCGGCTGGAGCGCCAGAGAAAGACGCCGTCACATTTCCCATGTCTGTGGCCAGAAAACAGATTCAATACAATGTTATCATTTTCACATGTCTTTGGAGAAAATGTTTGGCAAACGTCAGGAAACTCTGCACGCAGCAAACCGCTCCGTTGTTTCAACTTGTTCGCAGAACCTTCAAGCACCCTTGAGAACCGTAAGTGCTCATCATAAATTCATGTAGCCGGGCTGAGGGAGGTGGGCGGGGGGGTTGTTGGCCTGGATATAAATAGACCATCAACACGGCAAAACAAAGAGAGAAGCGACGGAGGCAGAAGAGAAGTGGAATGATGTGGAAGCTCAGTGAAGCCTTGGCTCAAGGTGAATGAACCTTCACGTGGTGGAAAGGAAGGGATAAATGTGTGAACGAAAACACGTTTGGATGCACTGATGCAGGAACATGCAAACCAACCGAGATGTTGAAACAGTGTGAGAAGTGAAGGCTGGTGGAATCACTTAAATTTGTTTAAATAATTGTTGATAAATAACCAAAAAAAGGATTTATTGTAAATAAATCTTCCGTCAAAATATAATAATAATAATCACAGACGGCCTAATTTTTTACCCAAAATTTACTTCCAAAGTAAATATATTATCTAAACAAAAATGCCTTATTTCAAAGTCCTTGCACTTTTCCCATCATGCATTGCCATCTGTCTTTCCTCATGGACAGGACATCTGTGGGGTTCTTGGTGAAGGCAGTGAGTACGGAGATAGTGGCATCGATGGCGTCACCGCCGAGATGGACGGCGACGGAGAGCTGGTGTCCCGTCGCTGTAAGGCCATGTCGGCCTCGTTCTCCGTTTACTCGGCCGCCGAGAGCAGCGTGTTCAACGGCAGCGACAGCGGCAGCAGCAGCGCAGGAGGAGGCGACGGGAGAGGAGGCGAAGGAGGAAGAGGAGGAGTCTATGAGAATTTCAGGAAGGAGCTGGACAATCAAGCCTGGGTGAGTTCCACTGGTTATATGTACTGTATATATGTACTTTTATATTCAGAAATATATGTTGGTGAGTTCTGCAGTATATATATATATATTTATATATATTACAATATATATTTATACATATATATGTGTGTTAATCCACAAAGCCATGGTCTAATCCCCGTTCTTGTCCCATCTCAGACTCAGGGTAGAGACTGCACTGAGGACGTCGGGTCTGCTGTGAGCGACGAGCAGAGCAGCGGGACACTCAGTAGTGCCTTTCCATCGGACACTCTGATTGGCTGCGCACAAGGTACGGTCAGGAAAGCGGGGGCTCTGGCCGTCAAGAACTTCCTGGTGCATAAGAAGAACAAGAAGGTGGAACCTGCCACGAGACGCAAGTGGAAACACTACTGGGTTTCCCTGAAAGGTGATGCACCAAAACTCTTGATCTTTCTTAGCTTTCAGAGCCTGTTACTGTCAGACCCACAGCTTTTCTCTGCTAAGTATGAACCACCATCTCACTGACTAACTGAGTCATGTGACTAACGGGCCTGGAATTCCTTAAACAACTCAGCCTTTGGTGGATGCTCCTTTATGATAAATAAAAGAAAATGAAAAAACAAAACAAAAAAAATCTGATTTCCATCTGCGGCGCTGCTTTCCGATAACATCTCCTGTTTAACCTCCTCCGCCCTCACTCCTGCGGAACTGTGATCAGTACTGATCTTAACCTGGTCCGCGCCCTTGTTTGTCACGTCTGTCGTCCTCTCTCACCCTTGTGTGTGTGGCCCCGTGTTGTCTCTCCTCGGCTGCGTCTCAATTTAATTTTACGGCGACATCCGTGTCTAATCCAATCTACTGTTCCGTAAACGTATTTCTGTCGTCTTTCTCCTTGAGATCTGCCTTCGCCTAGAACTAAAAACCTTATGGTGACACGGATTTGACCAGCCTTATGAACAGAATGTGTATTTTATTACCTTAGTTGGATTTGACCAGACTTATAAACAGAATGTGTATTTTATTACCTTAGTCGGATTTGACCAGACTGTGTATTTTATCACCTTAGTAAAATACTAGACCAATGCATATATAGTTCATAGAATTTTTTTAACATTGTTTTTGTCTATTTGCTCTGCGACCCTTGAAGGCTGCACCCTCTTCCTGTACGACTCCGACAGCCGTTCGGGCATCGACCACAACAGCGTCCCCAAACACGCCCTGTGGGTGGAGAACAGCATCGTTCAGGCCGTTCCTGAACATCCGAAGAAGGACTTCGTGTTCTGTCTCAGCAACTCAGTGGGGGATGCATTCCTGTTCCAGGTAGGAGACACTGGAATTCCAAACATCCGTGTGACATAAGAGCTGAGTTCTTGTTAAATGAAGTTTCCTTTACGGGAAAAATTCTCCTCATAATGAAGCACAGCTGCGACGGCAGCAGACGGAACGAGTTTTCTACAAAGAAGGTTCCTTAGGTTGATGCAGACACTTCATGAAAATGTGTGAACTAATCATAATAACTTGTCGATTTCATGCATCTGTCATCAGCTATGTTCTTGTAGGGAGCCTGAAGGCTGTGAGCTGCAGTACATTTCAACAGTTATTTCTGATTAAATTCACTGATGATATATACTGTATTTGCATTAACGAGCAGGTGAACAGATGTACCTAATAAAGTGGCCAGTGGTGGTGTAGTGTTATATTCCTGGGCTACATGTGGTTGGTAATATGATATATATGAGTGAATATTCATGAATACAATAATGTATGCATTTGTTCGTGCGTGTGCGTGTGTGTGTGTTTCATAAACGTGACATCAAATCATGTGGGAGTTCTGCAACCGTTCTCCCGTCTGTGTGTTTGTGACATGTTTAAAGGCCACACTGTCATACTGTGACAGTGATCTGTGGCAGTGGCCATTGTGTAATATTCAAATGTGTCTAATCATATTCATGGCATGTGTCGCTGTGACATTCAGACAGTAAATGGCAATGATCAGTCAGGAAACTGTGATGAGACTGGAGATTACAGCGGCCGTCTCCTCCCAGGAGTGATTAGAACCGTTCCTTCTCCAGTTCTAACGCTGTTTCCTGTTCTCTCCGGGTTCTAATCTCTTCTTTCTCTCACCTCGTCAGACGTCCGGACAAACGGAGCTGGAGAACTGGATCACCGCCATCCACTCCGCGTGTGCGGCCGCCCTCGCCAGGCAGCACCACAGGGAGGACACGGTGAAGCTGCTGAGAACCGAGATCCGCAAACTGGAGCAGAAGATCGACATGGACGAGAAGATGAAGAAGATGGGGGACATGCAGCTGTCCACTGTCACCGACAGCAAGAAGAGGAAGACCATACTGGAGCAGGTACGGAGGGTTAGCATCACGTCACCATAATAATGAACAAAAACAACAACAACAACAACATTACAAATTGTTCATTTAAAATAAAAAACACAAAAATTTCACAAAGAAAAATTAGATAAAGTTAGCATTAGCTAACTCAAAATCCAGGGTTAAATTAGCTCAGAAGTGACAGCATTGTATTCATACCTAACAGTTAGCCCTCAAATGGCTAAACACATTAACAGCTTAACTAGAAGTTAGCAGTATTGTTGTCAGGTGAGAAAATAGATGAATTATGACTAAAGGTTAGCTTTACCAGAAGAATATATTATTATAACAAACTTAAAAACTGGAATCTAAGAGTGAAAGTGAAACGTTTGTAGTTCTTGTTAGAACAAAACCGGAATCTAAGAGTGAAAGTGAACCGTTTGTAGTTCTTGTTAGAACAAAACCTACTGTTGAAACACACTCCTGCGTTCACACAGTGAGACAAAAGGAATCTGTAATTCATCATCGTCCGAAAACGACGTCATCGGGAGAACAGTTTCTCAGGGCGTCATCGCACCGACAGATGTTTTCAAATATATTCAGACCAGTTTGGTTTGTGAAGACGTGCCAGTGAAGGAGTCATTCTTTGTTTATAAGCATTTATTTCATTATTACAGTAGAAAATGATGATGCAGAATAAGAACTTCAGACCTGAAGCAAATGGTTTGGAGAGAACCAGGTCTGAGACACATATTGAGTTTGTCTTGTTTTTCACCACCCACAAATGTCACACGCTGTGATACATAACACATAACACGACAGGTTCGGCGAACGGTGGGGGTTGTGTTAGTGAGTTATACATCCCTCTGGGAGCTTCGTCACTCCCACGTCTAACTCTTCCTGAAAATGACCGGGATTATCTTCTACCACTCTGATCTTTAAAGGCACATTTGTCTTTTCTCCTGTTGTGGTTTTCCTCTGCGTCTGTCTGTTGGATAAATCTGGTTCTGATCAGAACGAAACGTTAGCCTCGGTTACGCAACAGCTAATCCATCCCTTTCACTGGTCTCACACTCCCCTCTCGTTCTGCTGCAGATCTTCCTGTGGGAGCAGAACCTGGAGCAGTTTCACATGGATCTGTTCCGCTGCCGCTGCTACCTGGCCAGTCTGCAGGGCAGCGAGCCACCGAACCCTAAACGCCTGCTGGGTTTCGCCTCACGACCCACCAAGTTGGCCATGGGACGACTGGGCATCTTCTCCGTGTCCTCCTTCCACGCACTGGTACAACTGCAGCACAGTTCTCATGCACATGTTTTGTTTTGTTTTTTTTATATATCTGATTCTTCATTCCAACATTTTTTTTACAATTCCCAGCAATTGTACTCCAGCCTAATCAAATCTCCTTAATCCAAAACCATTTTCCTCCTGTCTGTACTCGCTCCCGCTTGACAGGTTTCTCACTCTCAGTACCAACCCAGCTTGGAGAGTGGGTGTCTGTAGTTGGCTGTGAGAATGAGCCACGGATCACTTTCACCCACTCCATGGCAAGGAATCCGTGCCATTGACTGACAAATGTGCAAAATTATAGACAGGGAATGGCTTTAGTTCAAAGTGAAATTCACCAGCATGTTACAACAAAGATGATGTCGAACTGGGCTAAATCATAAACAGCCTGGCACATTCTCCCAGGTCCAGTGAAGATAGTTTTACACAAAGGCTGGAAAAGCTTCACATGTTTTTTTTTTTTTGCCCGAAACAAAGATTCCCAGAACACAATGTCAGGAGATGATTTAGGTAAAAATCAATACAGAAGGTCAAGGAGTGGTTTAGGTTTTAAAACAGACTCGTATGGCTGGGTGCTGTTCGTTACAAATAAAGCAATCTGTCGATTAGAGCGGACTATGTAGCATTGATATAAATATAATATTATATATAAATATATATATATATTTACATCTCAAAATTTAATCATTAAATCTTTAAAAACAAGTGCATGTTGCAGTGTACCTGTAATGTTTTTTTTTGAGTACAGACATTAAAACCATGTTTAAATATATGATATATATATATGATAGGGTAATGGCAGTGATGCCTTTCATGTCCTAGAAAAACTTAAACTAGCTTTATTTCGTAATATTTTTCATACAATATTTCGTACCATTTGCAATGAAAATAAAAAATAGAAAATTCGAGCCATAGATTTCATAATACATTTCCTTCTGCCACTGTTATGATTTTAAATCCTGGCCTAAATTGTGTCCAACCCAGAAGACCTGTCCTCAAGCATATAAAGCATGGAACACACATGGAGATTTACACAGCTGCACCGACTCTCTTCAGAACATTCAGAACATTCCCTCTCTAACTCACTGACATGGCATCCAGAGAATCCCCTTCTCACTGCAGCCCGTGGCCTAAAGTCACTCTGTTCTTCTTGTTTTCGTAACCAAAGGTTTTTTAAACACACGAAGAATGAAACACCAAGAGAATGAAACACATTCTACCTCCACACGGTGCTGCATTCTCTCACCCACGAAACTGAGTCTCACTCTCTCTGCAGTCAAACCAGCAGGAAGATGGATGAACTCACATCCCCACATGACAACATCAGAGGCTAACAGTGTGGGTTTTTTTTTTAAATTGGTGGATCGATACAAACTCTGTTAGTGAGCTGTCATCCCTGAGGCACTTTCCCACAAACAGGCTTTACACCCTCTACCTTAGACCCCCCCCTCTCTGTCCCCCCCTAACTGCCACCATCCCCTCCTCCTTTGTTTGGGTCCATGATCTACAGTCTGTCTGTCTGTCTCCTCCTGTCGTTTGGTTTTATTAATATAATAATAATTATAAAAATAATAATAACACAAAGCTAGCCTAGATTTAAGCATTATGTAAAAATTAACACAAAGCCAGCCTAGATTTAAGCATTATGTAAAAATGTGTAACTATATCAGGAAAATTTGCCAAAATCTCAACATTTTTGTAAAGTAAGACATGGCCAAAAAAAAAAAAAAATCAAATCAAATATACAGCTTAGAAATATGAAACACATAAAACTCTTGCAGAGATTAGCTAACATTAGCCAAAACTTTAAGTTAGTCAGTGGAACAGCTTACAATTGTCCAAACAATGTATAAATAAATAAAAGGCTAATACTTAGCCACAGCGTAGCCAAGAGCAGGCTATAAAAATGATGAACCTTTGAAAGAACTGAATGTTGGCCAAGAAAACTGCAGTAAATGTCTGATAAGAACTGACAGTACTGTAATGTAGCTGTGTTTACTCATTACTCCTTCAGCTCAGCCGCTCTTCACTGGAAGCTAAAAGAAGACATTCTCTGAAACACATCTACTGTATATGTAGTGGTGCGTCTTATTTAAGACATGTGATGAGGACAGTTTGATGTATGGTGTTTAAAGAGTTTCTTGAGTCTCATGGGACGGATGAAGACTAATGAGCACGACACTCTCATGGCTACAGTGTGTGTACTACGTCTATATCAACATGTGCATCAATGATGTATATTCACGTAGCTGTACAGTGAGTCAGAGCTGCTCTGGGTGCAGGAGTTCAATGACGGCTAACCCAGATATGCCAACAGAGCTCTCGCTATATGGGTGTGTGTGTGTGAGTGTGTGTGTGTGTGTGTGACTTTCAAAGAGTTCACGCGGTTCAACCTGTACCATTAGCTTATAACAAGATGCTGACAGTGTGTGATGTCAAGTTTTGTTGTATTTTCTCATGCCCCTAGGTGGCAGTGATGGCTCCAATTTTAACACTTTACAAGTGAAGAGTCACTTTACAGCTTTAAAAACAATTGTCCAAAAAACTTTCAAAGAAACATCTTTTGAAATAATTATATAATATATATGAACGTCTCTGTCGCAGGTGTCGGCCCGTACAGAGAGCTCCACCAGGAGGAAAAACCAAGCTCCGCCACGAACCTTCAGTAAACGTCGAAGTCGCTTCTCTTCACTCTGGGGTCTGGACACTGTGTCCAAGAGGAAGACAAAAGGACATCCGTCCATTAACCAGGTCTGTCTTCAGTCCCACGTCCATTTAATAAGAATAAAATTAATGATAAACTTTGTTTAAAATGTTTAAAGTTTGCTTTGGATTGGTGCTCACGACATTTGTACAAATTCATCTTTTTCAGGTGTTTGTAAGCAGTACCGAGTCCACAAAGAAGCCCTTGGAGAGAATGGTCGAAGTGGACTCTGCCACTGAGAAATCTGTAAGAACTTTTCCGTCCTTGTTTGTCTACAAAACAGCTTCATCATAAACATTATGACAGAATTGTGTCCTTTTGGCTGGAGTTGTTTTAGAGAAGGCACCAAACGATCCCTGTTTCCACCGCACGGCTCGTCTTGTCTGTAGCCAAAGCCAGATGACAGAGACCACAGCAGATGTGCTGATTGTTTACTGTTTGTACTTCTCTACAGTAACAAAACTCCTCCAGCTCCAAGCACTGACTTCCTCCTCCCTTTTGTAACTTTGGCATTCACTTCTGAGTAATAGAGCTCCGACCGCTCCAGGCTAATTCGTTGTCATTGTTCTGCCTTTCTCATGAGCCAACATAGAAATTAACTGGGGCATCTGATCAACCTTTGTACTGGTCTGATGGGCCGTGGGCCCCGGGCCAGAAACACTGTTGGATTTTCTGCTTCCTTTGACTTAGCTCGTGTCGTCTTGTTGCCGTGGCTCCTCAGCCGGTAGGCTAATCCTGAGGAAATGCTTTAAATCCATGCACTTTCAATATTATCCTAGATCACTGTTAAAGTCACTGTTAAGCTCTGAAGAAAACGATTACAAACAATTAAACTTTTCATTACAGATTTAATATAGTCTGCACTAATACACTACTGTCATCGACATAGAGTGAGAGACAGATAAATGTCTTTTTTTACAAACACTAAAAACAGGATAAGTCTGAAGTGAAATCATTGAAATTCAAAACTTTTTTTGCTTAGAAAA